TGACGGCACCGCCTCCCCCCTGCCCCTGCCCTGTCCCTGCGACTGGACTGGTCACTGCACCGCCGGGGCCGGTGGGCGGAGCTGATGGTCCGCAGGGCAGCGGCCGGGAGGTGCCTCCGGCCCCCTGAGGCCCTGACCCCGTGTAGAGGGGGCGCTGACCGTCCTGTTGGGGTCCCCCGGTGGCCTTCGAGGGACACGCGCCCCCAGGACGCCTGTTGACTCTGCGGTCACCGCTGTGACCTTGACCCGGCACCGCCTCCCCCGCCCCATTCTTCTTACCTGTGTTAAAGGTCACCAGCCAAAAGGATGCTAAATTCTGGTCAGTGTGGTTTTTAAGACCATACGGTTCTCAGTGACCCCGGAAAACAGGGTATTGGGGGAGCCACCTAATGTTGGGAAGTGAGCACAGAGCAGTGCTGAAGTCAGTCCCCTCAGTGTTTGTAAACTGATCTTAAAGGCTGATGGACACTGTGCTTCACGTTGGCGCTGGAGCCTCGAGATGGCAACGTTCTTACCAATAGCACCCATTTAAAAATAAAATAACGTGCCCTCGTTTTCGGCGGACACAGATCAATAAATAATGAAATATTGTCCCACTTACACAGAATTTCCTACCCACCGGAGGCTGTACTATGAAAATATAGATTTCATATAATTTTTATGGACAAAGTGCTCTGCTCCCTTCGTTGTATAATGAGATTTGGGTTTCGCAGAATGTGCACGGGAGCCTCCTGCTTTCCAGGGGAAATCGATGGTCTTGTGAAACCCACGGGCCGATCTTTGAATTCGGTCAACGCCCCGCACGGCCCAGGCACACGCCTCCCATCCAGTGTAAGCAGATAAAAAAGCCTCCGAGGTATTTTGTGTGTCGTCTACAAGTCACCAGATGACGAGCAAAGGATTTTGTTTTCACTGTTTGGGCTGAATTTTAACTCCTGTCTTTACCCCCTGGTATCAGAGCCCATTCAGCTCATCTGAGAACATGGTGTGAGGTGCAGCCTGGGTTCCTCGGGTCATTTCCTTGAGGCCCGGTCTGTGTAATTAGGCTCCCGGTCTTAGAGGAGACCCCTGTCCTCATATCTAATGGCCATTTTCACTGGCTTTCTGCTCCACATGCTGTGGGAGACCAGTGAGCGTCCTTTTTAAAAAAATATATGTTTTTATTTATTTTGGAGAGAGGAAGGGAGAGGGAGAGAGAGAAACGTCAATGATGAGCCTGCTCGGCTGCCTCCTGCACAGCCCCTACTGGGGATGGAGCCCGAAACCCAGGCGTGTGCCCTGACGGGGAATCGAGCCCTGACCTCCTGGTGCCTGGGAAGACGCTCAACCACTGAGCCACATCGGCCAGGGCTGCTGACCATTTCTTAATGTCAAGGGAACCAGGGAAGGGCAGAGCCTCAGAGCCTCGCCCTGGTGCTGGAGAGGGTGGTGGTGGAGGTAACGCTGTCTCGGAGCAGCATCCGAGGAAGCACAGGGAAGACCCCAGTTAACCCAGGAGAGCAGGGCGAGGAGAGCATTTCGGTGTTTACCTCCCCCTCCAAAACCTGGGCACCGCGGGGCCTGGGGGCCCCCGTGCTCAGGGTACCCGGGAGGACAAGGCGGGAGGTGCTGGATCAGGAAAACTGTGTCAGAACTTCCGGGACATGAT